TCTACTGACTCAGAGATGTTCTCTTTCAACATAGGAGCCTCCCAAGGAGACAGCACAGCTGGTAAATTGTTTACCCTCAATCTAGCTGGAGCTGTAGTGCACATAAGAGCAGTCCTCCCCTCAAGACCCAACCCTCCTATAGCCGATAACCACATGCCTCTTGAGTCCGGCTATTCAGACGATTTAGAGGAGATTGGTGAAGATATGGAGGAGTTACAGGATATCTTTCAGATCTCCAAGAATATTCTCAGTGAATGGAGTCTCTTTGTCAATGACACAAAGACAAAGTTTACCAGAGTGTATTTAGAAGAAGTTGGTGCCTGTGACGAGTGGGATAATGAACTAAAGAACTAAGAGGAAAAGAGGAGTGGAGAAACGAGACGCTTCTTGGTACTAAGCTTGGATCAGAGCAGGATGTTACTAATATGTAGAATAAACAAAGCTAACTCTGCCTTCTGGTCATTTGACAAGCTGTGGTGTCATGGATCAGAGAGGAGTCAGATAACTGAGAAGAGAAAGATCAAACTCTACGACTCACTAGTAGTATCAGTGCTCCTGTACAACTGCTGCTGCTGGGCCGTACCTCAGCATGTTCTAGAGTCTGTAGATGTTCTTCAGAGGAAGCACCTCAAGCGCATCCTACACATATATTGGCCTAGCTCAATATCTAACAAGGCCCTCTACGCTCGTACCCAGACCAGGCCCCTTTCCGAGAGAGTGGAAAAGGCACGGTTGACAATGCTAGGTCATGTTCTACGCAGTGACAACGACACACCTGCCTACCAGTCTCTGTTATTTGCTACACTAGGATGTCAAACACTAAAGGGACGAGTGGGTAGACACAGGAGTAATTTGTATGATATTATTATGAAAAAGGACCTATTTAAGAGACAAATTTATTTTAAAAATGAAGATGATTTTACCAACTTAGTGAACTTAGCAAGAGATAGAGTAGAATGGAGGAGTTTATTTACTTTGAGACATATTGAACGAATGAGTCTTCGTAAGCGTAAATAGGCCAGCACTTTGCTGAGCCTCTTTAGGTGCTCTTTTGTTTATAGATGTTATTATATTATATAACTGGCTAAATGGCTCTTTAGATTATGAGAGCATCTATGTTTTGAAACAGAACTTCGATCTGGTTGTTTCACTTTCACACACCCCAATAGGTTCTTTACCTGCTTTAAGACTTCAGGGACTTCATTTTCAATATCTTCCGCGCTATCAATTACATTTAGATATTTCTTTGAATCCTGATTATTTTTTATTTCATTCAACGATCTATGCACAAGTTCCTCATCGTCACAACTTTTCAAATTGCTTGGACCTAGTGATCTAGTTAACTCTAGCATTACCGCAATGTGGGAAATAAAGGCAAAAGAATGCTTCCCTGTCACATTTGCATGGACATAATTAGTAGACAGCTTTCCTTGTATTTTTGGAATAGATTGAATAGTTTCCGATGACAAGATTGGTTTCACTCTAGCTATTGGGCATGGCTGATGCACAGTATTCTGCACCACATCATCTGTACTCTTTGTTCCATTCTGACATTCCGGGGTAGGTAAAATACTCATCATCCGACGACGTCTTTTCTTAGATTTTAGTCTTAATACCCGCTCCATGGATCGCACAATTGATAACGTAGGACACCTGGATTTTTTTCCTCCGAAAATATTGTATATATTCTGTAGGCAAGCTTCCTCTAAAGAACACCCAAGTCTGAATAAAACCCGTTGAATTGCTTTGGCCTTGATAATCTGGCCAGGTACCATGTCGTTACACTTCCACAATTCAATTTCAAAATTCGTCCTGACCGTGCATCTATCTTTAATCGTTTCGGCATCGAACGCCTTTCTTCCGGATTTCTCCTTACAAAGTTTGTTTTTCGGCGTGGAAGTGCCATCTTCTGTGGCGAATCTTGTAGAAAGTTTGTTTAAAACAGTCTCTTTCTTCGCAATCACAGGCTTATCACCTTTTCCATCGTGTACTGGCAGTCTAATTGTACTCAGAGAACTTGTTGGAGGAGTATTTCTATAGTTCAATTTGTCCCGATTTCCCTGCTGATTCTCATTCTTGATTGCAGTTCCACCTTCAATGAGTCGTGTAGACAACTTGTTAAGTGCTGTTTCCTTCTTTGAATTTAACACTTTCTTGCTGCTGTTTATCTTATCAACATCAATTGGTCGTCCAATTGTGAATTTAGAATTGTCTACTGTGGGAGTTCTCGTGGTTAAATTATCAGTGTTAGCCCGCAAATGCTCCTTCTTCTTCAGACCCGTCGATGAAGATTTATCCATAATCGTCAATTTGCTTTGCACCGTCGGTTTCTTAATCTTTGGAATCCTAAAAGTAGGGACAGCTCTCCTCTTGAATGAGTTGCTTGTTATTATCGCAGTAGTGATAACATCAGCAGATGATTCGTCTTCAGAATCATATTGAGTTCTAGGTTTTGATGAATCAGCAGCCCTTTTTGAAGTGTTGACAACAACTGATACGTCCTCAGTAGATGGTTCGGGTACAGGGAAATTACAGCTGGAGGAAGCTCCGGAGTATCAATACCTGATGATGTGTTCTCAGTAGATGGTTCGGGTACAGGGATTACAGCTACAGGAACCCTTCAAGCGAATGAGCGACTCTCCTGATGCCTTCGCTAAATTGCAACGTAAACATCTGTCGTATGTGAGACTTTCCATAACCCTTCCGCACTTACACCGCCAAGCCATATTCTTTTTTCGTATTATATGAATGATTATATTAGTAAATTATACAATTATGTGTATATATAGATACTAGCTGTTTTTTTTTGTAGAGTTATCAAATCAGTTACAACTACAGAAAACAATTGCAAGAGCGAGGTACTAATAGTACTAAAGGTCAACACTCATAATTGAGTTTAATTTGGGTAATTATGTAATTTATGTTAAAAAAGTTAAAAAAGTTAAAGTAATTAATGTTAAATTCCAAAATCTCGATCTTAGAATTTAACTTTTTTAACGTGGACCCCCCCCCCCAATTTACATAACAATAAGTTAAAGTACTTAAGGGGGGGGGGGGGGGGGGGGGCCAATGGATATTTTTTTGCGAAACTTGATTTCGAGATAGCAGTTGACCAACAAACTAAGACCAGTGACCGAACTTTTGAGGGGGTCCCGGACCCCAACCGCCAAACGGTGCCCGCGGGGCAGCCACGCCCATATTTGGTCCAAATTAGGCCCAATTTAGCCAAATACCCTGAACATGCCCAAAACCCAAATTTTAGGTGCTCTACTTGTAGCTAGTGGTCTCCTGAACTCGTATATGAAATTTCATCAAGATTGGACAAAAAATGACTGAGTTATGAGCCAAAAACCATATGCCCATATTTGGGCATACGCACCAAATTTGGTAGATTTCGTCCCATAAATTGGTCAAATATCAATATTTTCCACTGAAACTTACTTTATATGAAAGGTAAGCCTAAACTACATATTCTCTGTAAGTTATAGCTTTATATCTGTTTAAATGTGGATACTAAGGCGAAAAGACCACAAAAAAAGAACTAAATTGCCCATATTATATCTTGGTTCGCGATATTCGCGGAATTGATCTCATTAAAATTGTAACAACTCGATCAGTTTTCAAAATTTTTCGGAATCGACTCGAAATCGTATTTCCACCTTAGTTTGAGAACAAATTTTTGATTAAGGCCTCAAAAAAAATTTGGCGGCCAAATTCTGAATTTCTCCGGGAAAATTTTGGAATTTGGCCGCCAATTTTTTTTGGAGGCCTAAATCAAAAATCTGTTCTCAAACTAAGGTGGAAATGCGATTTCGAGTCGATTCCAAAAATTTTATGGAAAAATTTTGAAAACTGATCGAGTTGTTGCAATTTTAATGAGATCAATTCCGCGAATATCGCGAACCAAGATATGGGCAATTTAGTTCATTTTTTGTGGTCTTTTCGCCTTAGTATCCACATTTAAACAGATATAAAGCTATAACTTACAGAGAATATGTAGTTTAGGCTTACCTTTCATATAAAGTAAGTTTCAGTGGAAAATATTGATATTTGACCAATTTATGGGACGAAAACTACCAAATTTGGTGCGTATGCCCAAATATGGGCATATGGTTTTTGGCTCATAACTCAGTCATTTTTTGTCCAATCTTGATGAAATTTCATATACGAGTTCAGGAGACTACTAGCTACAAGTAGAGCACCTAAAATTTGGGTTTTGGGCATGTTCAGGGTATTTGGCTAAATTGGGCCTAATTTGGACCGAATATGGGAGTGGCTGCCCCGCGGGCACCGTTTGGCGGTTGGGGTCCGGGACGCCCTCAAAAGTTTGGTCACTGGTTCTAGTTTGTTGGTCAACTGCTATCTCGAAATCAAGTTTCACAAAAAAATATCCATTGGCCCCCCCCCCCCCCCCCCCCCCCCCCCCCCCCCCCCCCCCCTTAAGTTATAACACCATGATCACTATGACTTTGGTTCGAGTTCAGAAAAAGAGTAAAACACTTATTAAAAAATTACCAAAAATTTCACAGTTTTTTGGACATTTTTGGGCGGTCATGAGCGTGAATACTAAATAATTATGTCCGTGAAAAATTTGGTCCGTGAAAAACTTGTCCGTGCCAATTATGTCCGATAAGGTAGTCTACTTTATTACTAGCCAAGTTCAAAACTAGAATTCAACCTTAAAATAAACCAATTTATTGGTTTATTTTAAACCAGTTAAAGATAATAATAATATGTTTTGCTGAAACTACATACAGTATTATATAGCAACAATATACGATGTATTGTTGGTATAATTTTATATGTAATATTATTTTACCAAGAGTTATCACGGGAACGGGGTTGGGTAATATTCTATTGGTGTTATACTGAAATATCATGGCAGGATAAACTCTCGTAACCTGAAATCCTGGCTTAGTCCCAGGGGATGCTAAAAACAGTAAATACCTTATCTCTCCAGTCTGTATCCACTGTTTGGGGATGCTAAAAACAGTAAATACCTTATCTCTCCAGTCTGTATCCACTGTTTGAGCAGGTACTCGTAGTAACTGTCACCTCGAGCTCCCAGCGTCAGCGTTCCTGGAACATTGCTCATTATTATTTATTAGTAGTAGTGTGTATCTACTAACTAGAGCTGGCCGCTTCACAGTTTTATAGAGCAAATGTTTCATTAAAACCAATATAATATATCGAGCCTATCGAGCCTTATTGCAGAGCTTTTCCTTGACAGAGTGTAGGTAAGTTAGTAAGTAGTACCTGTCTATAAAGCACAGACCCAGGTACCAGCCTCCCTTATGGACTGAGCACTACAGCACTACTAGTAGTGACTACTACAGCACTACTACACCACGTCATATTTAAGTGTTCATTAAAACCGCAGATTTAGATATTTTACTATAATATTCGTGTCCAAAGTTCGCATTTTATTGTTTTAATGCTCCAAAATTGTGCAGCTGTTGATACTGTCTTAAAGATCAATGGAAAGAAAATAGCTACAGGTTACTAATTGCAATAAATGGGGAAATGGGCGGTTTCCAGACTCCTTATTTCGACGGTGATGTAACCTGCGAGGCTGTGATGTAACCTGTAAACATATTCCAGGAAGGTATTTTAACTAATCTGTCTATTTAAGACAGATCCGGCTATTGACGGCAGACAACTTTAGACACAAACCTGATGTTTTAGTTTAGAAGACACAAATGTAATAATAATATCTAACCTGATGTTTTGCCGCTGTTGACATCCACATAGATCCTTGGTAAATGATCAGCAGGTACTTTGTTCAGAACTGTAGACATAGCTCGATCAGTTGCCTCCTGAAATTATAACTCGGTCAGTTGCCTCCTGAAATTATAGCTCGATCAGTTGCCTCCTGAAATTATAACTCGGTCAGTTGCCTCCTGAAATTATAGCTCGATCAGTTGCCTCCTGAAATTATAGCTCGGTCCAGTTGCCTCCTGAAATTATAGCTCGATCAGTTGCCTCCTGAAATTATAGCTCGGTCAGTTGCCTCCTGAAATTATAGCTCGGTCAGTTGCCTCCTGAAATTATAGCTCGGTCAGTTGCCTCCTGAAATTATAGCTCGGTCAGTTGCCTCCTGAAATTATAGCTCGGTCAGTTGCCTCCAGAAATTATAACTCGGTCAGTTGCCTCCTGAAATTATAGCTCGGTCAGTTGCCTCCTGAAATTATAGCTCGGTCAGTTGCCTCCTGAAATTATAGATCGGTCAGTTGCCTCCTGAAATTATAGATCGGTCAGTTGCCTCCTGAAATTATAGCTCGGTCAGTTGCCTCCTGAAATTATAGATCGGTCAGTTGCCTCCTGAAATTATAGATCGGTCAGTTACCTCCTGAAATCATAGCTCGGTCAGTTACCTCTAAAACTACTATATGTATATAGTGTGTAGTGTGTACACTGACTTGATTAATAGATCCAGTGTCTCAGCTAAAGAGGGTGAATGAACCCGCATATAATTATAGTGCTGTGTACCAGGGACAAAGTGTGGCACTTGGATCAACACTGTCATTATATGGGGGGGGGGGGGGGGGGGGGGGGGGGTGCGCCCTCACAAATTAACAGACATTATAATAAGCAATTCGTGAAACATGCAGATGGTACGAAGTTATTCCAAAAAAAGGTGTTCTTCGTTATATTATCTTTATATGAAGGGTTTGCTAATACTACAATATGTATTTGGAGTATTTCATAGCTCTGCTAAATTAATTGCAGCCAGGAACTACTACTAATTGAATCTGCGTACTGCTACAAGTGTGTAACTAGATTACACTCTGTGTGTGTCAACTGACGTTACACAAACATTGGGTGTTTACACAGATTTATTGACTCAATAGTATTAAGACACATAAAATAGAGAAGTTATTTTTTTCTAAAAGAAGAGTAATTTATTAAATTAGTAAAATTAAGATTTAGTCCGCACTGCGGGAATGCCTCTAGATACCTCCCAGTATCTTGCTACCTCCCAGTATCTTGCTACCTCCCAGTATCTTGCTACCTCCCAGTATCTTGCTACCTCCCAGTATCTTGCTACCTCCCAGTACCTTGCTACCTCCCAGTATCTTGCTACCTCCCAGTATCTTGCTACCTCCCAGTATCTTGCTACCTCCCAGTATCTTGCTACCTCCCAGTATCTTGCTACCTCCCAGTATCTTGCTACCTCCCAGTATCTTGCTACCTCCCAGTATCTTGCTACCTCCCAGTATCTTGCTACCTCCCAGTATCTTGCTACCTCCCAGTATCTTGCTACCTCCCAGTATCTTGCAGTATCCAGTATCTTGCTACCTCCCAGTATCTTGCTACCTCCCAGTATCTTGCTACCTCCCAGTACCTTGCTACCTCCCAGTACCTTGCTACCTCCCAGTATCTTGCTATCTCCCAGTATCTTGCTACCTCCCAGTATCTTGCTACCTCCCAGTATCTTGCTACCTCCCAGTATCTTGCTACCTCCCAGTATCTTGCTACCTCCCAGTATCTTGCTACCTCCCAGTATCTTGCTACCTCCCAGTATCTTGCTACCTCCCAGTATCTTGCTACCTCCCAGTACCTTCCTACCTCCCAGTATCTTGCTACCTCCCAGTATCTTGCTACCTCCCAGTATCTTGCTACCTCCCAGTATCTTGCTATCTCCCAGTATCTTGCTACCTCCCAGTATCTTGCTACCTCCCAGTATCTTGCTACCTCCCAGTATCTTGCTATCTCCCAGTATCTTGCTACCTCCCAGTATCTTGCTACCTACCAGTATCTTGCTACCTCACAGTATCTTGCTACCTCCCAGTATCTTGCTACCTCCCAGTATCTTGCAGTATCCAGTATCTTGCTACCTCCCAGTATCTTGCTACCTCCCAGTATCTTGCTACCTCCCAGTATCTTGCTACCACCCAGTATCTTGCTACCTCCCAGTATCTTGCTACCTCACAGTATCTTGCTACCTCGCAGTATCTTGCTACCTCCCAGTATCTTGCTACCTCCCAGTATCTTGCTACCTCGCAGTATCTTGCTACCTCCCAGTATCTTGCTACCTCCCAGTATCTTGCTACCTCCCAGTATCTTGCTACCTCCCAGTACCTTGCTACCTCCCAGTATCTTGCTACCTCCCAGTACCTTGCTACCTCCCAGTATCTTGCTACCTCCCAGTATCTTGCTACCTCCCAGTATCTTGCTACCTCCCAGTATCTTGCTACCTCCCAGTATCTTGCTACCTCCCAGTATCTTGCTATCTCCCAGTATCTTGCTACCTCCCAGTATCTTGCTACCTCCCAGTATCTTGCTACCTCCCAGTATCTTGCTACCTCCCAGTATCTTGCTATCTCCCAGTATCTTGCTACCTCCCAGTATCTTGCTACCTCCCAGTATCTTGCTACCTCCCAGTATCTTGCTATCTCCCAGTATCTTGCTACCTCCCAGTATCTTGCTACCTCTCAGTATCTTGCTATCTCCCAGTATCTTGCTACCTCCCAGTATCTTGCTATCTCCCAGTATCTTGCAGTATCCAGTATCTTGCTACCTCCCAGTATCTTGCTACCTCCCAGTATCTTGCTATCTCCCAGTATCTTGCTACCTCCCAGTATCTTGCTACCTCCCAGTATCTTGCTACCTCCCAGTATCTTGCTACCTCCCAGTATCTTGCTACCTCCCAGTATCTTGCTACCTCCCAGTATCTTGCTATCTCCCAGTATCTTGCTACCTCCCAGTATCTTGCTACCTCCCAGTATCTTGCTACCTCCCAGTATCTTGCTACCTCCCAGTATCTTGCTATCTCCCAGTATCTTGCTACCTCCCAGTATCTAGCTACCTCCCAGTATCTTGCTACCTCCCAGTATCTTGCTACCTCCCAGTATCTTGCTACCTCCCAGTATCTTGCTACCTCCCAGTATCTTGCTACCTCCCAGTATCTTGCTACCTCCCAGTATCTTGCTACCTCCCAGTATCTTGCTACCTCCCAGTATCTTGCTACCTCCCAGTTTCTTCCTACCTCCCAGTATCTTGCTACCTCCCAGTATCTTGCTACCTCCCAGTACCTTGCTACCTCCCAGTATCATGCTACCTCCCAGTATCTTGCTACCTCCCAGTATCTTGCTACCTCCCAGTATCTTGCTACCTCCCAGTTTCTTCCTACCTCCCAGTATCTTGCTACCTCCCAGTATCTTGCTACCTCCCAGTATCTTGCTACCTCCCAGTATCTTGCTACCTCCCAGTATCTTGCTACCTCCCAGTATCTTGCTACCTCCCAGTATCTTGCTACCTCCCAGTATCTTGCTACCTCCCAGTACCTTCCTACCTCCCAGTATCTTGCTACCTCCCAGTATCTTGCTACCTCCCAGTATCTTGCTACCTCCCAGTATCTTGCTATCTCCCAGTATCTTGCTACCTCCCAGTATCTTGCTACCTCCCAGTATCTTGCTACCTCCCAGTATCTTGCTATCTCCCAGTATCTTGCTACCTCCCAGTATCTTGCTACCTCCCAGTATCTTGCTACCTCACAGTATCTTGCTACCTCCCAGTATCTTGCTACCTCCCAGTATCTTGCAGTATCCAGTATCTTGCTACCTCCCAGTATCTTGCTACCTCCCAGTATCTTGCTACCTCCCAGTATCTTGCTACCACCCAGTATCTTGCTACCTCCCAGTATCTTGCTACCTCCCAGTATCTTGCTACCTCGCAGTATCTTGCTACCTCCCAGTATCTTGCTACCTCCCAGTATCTTGCTACCTCGCAGTATCTTGCTACCTCCCAGTATCTTGCTACCTCCCAGTATCTTGCTACCTCCCAGTATCTTGCTACCTCCCAGTATCTTGCTACCTCCCAGTATCTTGCTACCTCCCAGTACCTTCCTACCTCCCAGTATCTTGCTACCTCCCAGTATCTTGCTACCTCCCAGTATCTTGCTACCTCCCAGTATCTTGCTATCTCCCAGTATCTTGCTACCTCCCAGTATCTTGCTACCTCCCAGTATCTTGCTACCTCCCAGTATCTTGCTATCTCCCAGTATCTTGCTACCTCCCAGTACCTTGCTACCTCCCAGTATCTTGCTACCTCACAGTATCTTGCTACCTCCCAGTATCTTGCTACCTCCCAGTATCTTGCAGTATCCAGTATCTTGCTACCTCCCAGTATCTTGCTACCTCCCAGTATCTTGCTACCTCCCAGTATCTTGCTACCACCCAGTATCTTGCTACCTCCCAGTATCTTGCTACCTCCCAGTATCTTGCTACCTCGCAGTATCTTGCTACCTCCCAGTATCTTGCTACCTCCCAGTATCTTGCTACCTCGCAGTATCTTGCTACCTCCCAGTATCTTGCTACCTCCCAGTATCTTGCTACCTCCCAGTATCTTGCTACCTCCCAGTACCTTGCTACCTCCCAGTATCTTGCTACCTCCCAGTACCTTGCTACCTCCCAGTATCTTGCTACCTCCCAGTATCTTGCTACCTCCCAGTATCTTGCTACCTCCCAGTATCTTGCTACCTCCCAGTATCTTGCTACCTCCCAGTATCTTGCTATCTCCCAGTATCTTGCTACCTCCCAGTATCTTGCTACCTCCCAGTATCTTGCTACCTCCCAGTATCTTGCTACCTCCCAGTATCTTGCTATCTCCCAGTATCTTGCTACCTCCCAGTATCTTGCTACCTCCCAGTATCTTGCTACCTCCCAGTATCTTGCTATCTCCCAGTATCTTGCTACCTCCCAGTATCTTGCTACCTCTCAGTATCTTGCTATCTCCCAGTATCTTGCTACCTCCCAGTATCTTGCTATCTCCCAGTATCTTGCAGTATCCAGTATCTTGCTACCTCCCAGTATCT